AAAAAAAAAAAAAAAAAAAAAAAAAAACGCGAACGTACTGAGTATTTATCCGATACCGCTGCGACGCGTGTGCATAGATAACGCGTGGAAAACGTGGTGACTCCGTATTGTAATTAACGTTTAAAAAAAAAAAAAAGTTAGGGACTCGAGCGAACGGAGATAAAGTAAAACACTTTTGTACGGTATTTTGTGTTCAGCGCTGTGAATTATTATTGAAATGTTATTACGAGCGGTCGTTTGACGAAAAGTGACGCGATGTGCACGATGGTGGTCGATTGTGTGTGTGAAAAGCGTGGTGCCGACCAAAGCAAACGTTTCAATAAAAAAAAAATAGTTCCCGGGTTTCGCGTATGCAATCACGTAACACGGCCTATTATTCTTGTGATACGCAACAATATTGTGTGGTACGCGATTTTTTTTTTGATTTTTTCTCGATGTCCACACAAAGATATATCTCATAACAATAATAATAATAATAATTATGTTATCATAGCGTTTTGCGTACTCGTCGAAATCACGATTATTTTTTTTTTTCTCTCAAAGACCGAGCGGCGTTACGTAATTGAATAGACCAAAAATATAAAAGCTGCTATTCAAATATTGCCAACTGCAACGCGCATACAAAGTGTAAAATTCAATTTTAAAACTGTACTAGTAACATTGAGGAATCGTCAACAATAAATGATCTATTATCTTCAGAAACCGTAATGCGTATTGCGCGCGAGTGACGAAATAAAAACGGAAGTAACGGAAACGCCTCCGCACGCGATTTGTTTACTATGTCTCACGCGCAAATCACAGCAACACATCAACGATTACGGCACTTCGGTCGAGCTAAGGGCAAATGGGCCTACGGTGTAAACGTTATAAAGAAGAGAGTGTTTACTATGCCACGGTCGAATGTTTTTAGATTCATAGCGGGGCGAGAAATGTATTGGTTTTACTGCGATGATTTCTGTTTTCGTGAACAATTTTTCGACCAGAAGATTTGCTCCGATTTTCAAGTGTAGCGGATTTTCTAAAAGGAAATCTGACCGGAGTGGTACTATAAGGAGGCCATTTTTGAATTTTCCCAGAGGTTTTCATAACACACGAGAAAAACCGGGAAAAAACCGCGAAAAATGGGAAAATGTACGAAACGTATTATTTCCAAATCGTAATTATTACGGCCACTCAAAACATGTTTAACCGTTTCTCCTCTACCCCCTTCAAAACTTCTCTTCTACAACAGTGACCAACTTCTCTTCTACAACAGTGACCCACCTATTGTGCGAAGTATGTCGGTTTGTTTTTTTTTTTTTTTTTTTTTGATATTTGAATTCATTAACAAGTTATTAACGGTTAAAACTAAGAGAAATTAAGTTATATTAAAACACCGATTTGTTCGTGACGAAAATGGATTAATTTTTTTAAAAAAAAAAAAAAAAAAAACCATTCAGCCAGCACATTAGTAAATACTCTTCTACGTAAAATGTATAATAGATATGTTTTTTCTCTTAACTCGACTGGATAGTCGAAATCGTTAAGCGATTGTACGTTTTTCGCTATATTACTCGAGGGGCAGAGAGAGAAAACAAATTATGCGTAGAGGCCCCTTAAGGTGAATGTATACGGCGATCGGGAATGAACAAACAAGAGCAGGACAAATAGGAGAGTATTATAGAGTATGGGCGTGTCGAGTGAAATGGAAACGGCGGAATTCGGTCGAGAAGACACTATTATGTTAAACGGTCGAGTCGAAAGTCGGTAAGGAAAGACCGCTAAACACGGCGAACGTGTTTACAGCGAAATATTGAATTAGGGGGGAACCGAAATGGTGGATTTTGGCGACGGGTAGCCGGCGGAGAGACGCGAGACGCGAGACGTTCCTCCGTCAGCGGGCCACTCTTCCGTCTTTGCGGGATATTTTAACGAATCCGCACAATGTTACCATTTGCGTTGACAAATGTGCAAGCGGTCGCGAAACGGATTTCCATGGATACATATTAGAACAGATTAGATACACATTTGAGAATTTAAATAGAAACTACACGTTTTTAAACGATCAACATATTATTATATTGCTCATCGATATATTATTATATGTCCAATTAAAATAATAATAATAATAATAAAAAAAAAAAAAAAAACCAATTATTATTATTATTGACTGCAGCAGTTATCTGCGGTTAACAATGAACAATACAAGTTATTTAAATATTATAGGTTTTCTAATTATTGTTATTATTGAACTCGTAGATTTAGTACTGCGATGTATTCGACCGCGTGGATGACAATTATTATTTTTCTGACGCTTGAATTCAAAATAGAAAGTTTACCGATAATAAAAACAAATGACTCCTTTTTTTTTTTTTTTTCCCCCCCCCATTTCTCTCTCTCTCTCTCTCTCTCTCTCTCTATCTTTCGATATCTTTCGCTTGTTACTTATATTCGCTTCTTTAAGACGCAAATGATTACCGCGTTAATATTGCAATATTAAATTTGATACCGCCGACGAATAATTTCCGTACCGCGTATGGTATTATTATACATTCGCGTGCGCCTATAATTGAAGGATTAGACAGTGATTTGTAATTAATAATAATAATACGCGGCGCGGCGCGCGTTCGTACGTAAGTTTGCGACGTTTTTTTTTTTTTTCAGTTTCCCGTTCGGTCATACGCGCAAAATATAACGAAAACCATACTGAGGAATAACTACGGTCCGCATAACAATGTCTCGAAAATAATCGACGAAATTTATTTTACCGAGCCCGTGCATTAATACTCGTATTACGTTATTAATTTCACGAATAACGCGCCATCGAGTAAGTAACAGCTCTGTCATATTATATTTTATTTTATATAGGTGGTCTTTGTCGGATCCGCAAATCAATATTGTTAATTAATAAATACACGCTGGCATCATCGGCTATCAATAATAATAACAACATTAACAATAGCAATAGGCAATAACAAAACGAAAAGTTTAGAAATCGTATGAGAACTAAAGATTCGCAGTGGTACTCGAATCGCACTCGTATCCCACGAGAAAATGAATGTCTGCCGTACACATACGCTATTACGTACTATTTATTGTATCGGAAGAGATTTTTTTTTTTTTTTTATACTCGGTGCGACAGCCCAAAATACCACCTTTCGTCCCGGGGATGAAGAGCTTCACTCAATGTTCGGAACTTTTTAATCCATTTACATTTTTCCTGAAATAGTACAGGCGTGTGTTTAATCTAACGCGTGTTATAACACGGACTGTTAAAACATCTAAAGTCGCCTACGGTTTATTTCGGCAACAACCGCATAATTTGTTCACATTTATTGTATAGCGGTTTTCGCCATTATAACGTATCGTTTAGCAATTCTCAGAGTTCGATTTGCTTGTACTGCAAACTACACAACATCGACTTAAGCCTCTCTTCCCTGACACCAAAGACATATTATACGGGATGGTTTGTTTTATCGTGATCCGCGTTCAATTGTCCTAAACACTATCCTAAAAACACGCCTGAACTGCAGTCATAGCACACAAACGGTAAATCAAACATTTATAATGTCATATATTCTATCAAATTCGTTTAGTAAAATATTTTGATTTGGTTTTTTTTTTTTCTCGAATCCGTGTTGAAAACGATGGGGATAGGGTCGGTCGCCATTCCAAAATCAATATCTCACACTCGTTTAAAGTATAAGCAATAGCGGTAAGAATTTCAAGACGATAATATTAAAACAAAGTCTACATGAAATTTACCGGGAAAATATAACTGGATCGCGATAAAGGAATCGCATTGAATACACGGATATCGATCTAAGAGCGTAGTGTACACCGTGTTGTTTTTACGTTACGGGTATTATGATACTGACAAGGGTACCCCGATAAATTAACAATATTTTATCAAATGATATTTCCTGCAACGCGTTTGCCGTTTATAATAACGTATTGTTTTCAACGGGCTTATAAGTGTTGTGAAAAAAAAAAAAAAAACAGAGTACGAATGTGCCAAGTATATAATAAAATGAAACGAATGATGATCTAAAATAAATAACTGCGCGTATAATATTTCTCGTTTTTTTTTTTATTTTATATAAATTTTATATAATTGCGTAATTTATAACAATAAAAAATAATAATATCTATTAAAAAACCATTAAACTGTAAGTTAATAATTTTTTTTTAGCGTGCGCACATAACATATATTATAAATGGTAATAATAAAAATAGAAATATATGATGATGACTGAATATTATTATTACGCGCGATTGTCGTTGCAGTACCCTGCTATGAACTTGGCCTTCCTCGCTCGCGTTACACTGCAGCAGGATGTTTCGTTTAACGGCGTTATTACTGTACATTTACGACATTTCGTTTGTGCTACAGGTGCCTAACCTTTATAATACCTTTATTATATTTTCGCACTTGATTCGTTTTTTTTTCGTATATTTCGCGGTACACGGGTTCGTTATGATCACGTAAACAAAAGAGATGATACGCGCACGTGCGTTTGCAACGAAACACACGATTCGAAATAATATTGTCCGCGCTCGTTGCACAGCATACGGTAATCCCTCGTTATCCTATGTCGAGTCGGCAATGCCTTTCATTTAATAATCCGTACATTTCGTCGCTATCGCGTGCGAACGCTGCGATTTGTTTTAGATAAAATTAGATCGTTTTTATGCGCAACTACGCATAATATAAATACCACACCTTTAGTGACGAATACCGCGTAAAGTACACCGCGCACGTACGTTGCAGCTTTAAAGGCCTATTGCGTACGGAGAGCTTCGCAAAAACATAGTATTGAGAATAAAAGGAAACAGACACCTGTCGGTTTTTTTTTTTCCTTTCTAATATAATTTATGTAAGTGCGTGTAAATAGTTAATTGTGTAAATTAAAACTAATTTATACAAAATGAAAAGAAAAATATCAGTGTTTTTGAAATTCAAATAATAAAACCTAACCTCCTATCTACATTGATTTACGGTCTCGTTATCCGCGGTTTTATTATCCGCGCAACTTTGCCGGAACCTAACCTCCGCGGTTCACGAGAGATTTCTGTATTCTATACGGCCATTTGTATAGATTTTCCCGTCGATCTCGAACGGAGGTTTATTTAGATTTTGTACGGAACAAAAATAAAATTTACCTAGATAGCTTGTTTTTTTCTTTCGGATAATATATTTGTATTCGGTTAGTAATATCGCTAAAAATGTTTCGTATCATGCAGTTTTAAACGATGCGGATTTTTCGCCCTATAGTAATTTATTTGAACAATTTGTCTACAACCACCCGGAAATCTATCAAAAAACTTAAAAACACTCTGGTAATACAATTACGATAATACTGCATAGGTTTTAATTTTTTCGATTTCTGTAAGGTTACTTTGGTTACAGGGGAAAAAGCACGACCAGTCCACTGAACTCCGCACAGAATTGTGTTTCGATCATAATGATTTATTGTTGCTTATAGTATAAGTATATGTAATAAACTTAATATTACCCTACCTTCTTAACTCCTTACGCACAACAATGGCCTATTCATGGTGTAAAGTATGTAAGACTTTTAAATTCTACGCACAACATATGTGTTATTATGTATGATTGTTTTCCGTATGTGTACCTATGAAAACCTTTACGACCAGAAATCGTATAGTCCAATCAAATAATGACGAGAGTACATTTTATGCGGATAAAATTGTTTTGGCTAGAACAGAAATGCTTGATTGACAAATTTAACTTGAAGAGCGTTATAAATTAGAAGTTTTATTTATATATTGGTTAAAAATAAAGTCGAACGTAATGTAATAGGGTTTTCTGTAAGCGTTTTAAATTCAAATTTTTAACAAAAATCATAAGTATTTCAATACAGGTATAACTGAACTTTGCTCAGAATCGCATTTTGTCAGCAATGATTTATCTTTGCGTACATACACAAATTAAATGACCTTATGCATCCTACCTTCTCGACTTCCCATCTACAACGGTGGCGTATCCATTAGCAATATCAGCTCTTTATTTTAAATTGCGATTTAGTAATACAATAAGTTTCGTATACATTGAAACGATCGATTCATTGTTATAAGACGTTTTCCGGTTTAGAAAAGCGGAATTGATCGAAATCGCGCTAATACAGGCAAGACGATCCGTCATCACGCGACGATTTCTATTATCTATAAAATAATTCCTGTTCTTTACACTTATGCAATTACCACATATTACTATGTTTATTGTGTATACCTAACACTTGTTTTACGTTGTGTAATGTATCGGAATAAATGAAAAAAAAAAATAATAATAATAATAAAATAAAAGCCTACAGCGTTCGGCGGTAAACATAATTTAATGTTCTTATTTTGTTTTCAGCCATCACTCTAATCGTATTACGTTTCCAAAATGTATATTATATAATGAACACAAGCGTGCACTGATCTTACTGATAGCAACCGGTAGGCAGAGGCAGAGTTCTTTTTGTAATCGATCCGTACGCGGAGTCAAGGACTAAATTGGACGGCTACATAGATCACGAGTGCAAAAAAAATATCTATTCAACGCACCATAAGCGCGAATAAGTTGTACCAATAGTAAAAGGTGTTTGATTAAAATTTGTTAAGTTATTATTATTTAAGATTTCGCATTAATATTCGAATAAATACATTAAAACTTGATATTTGTAGCCCGCGGTTTTTAAGCAGTGCAATCTGGAAATGCTTTTATATTGACGATGACTTTAGGCGCTGTGATTCGTAGTTTTTCGTACATTTTACTGCAGTTTTAAGTAAACTTCTGATTGGTGTTCTTTAATTACTTCAATACAATTGTAAATTGTTGGGTTTGGATTATGAAATTGATCTTTCAATTGACGGTGATACGATTCTGGATCATTGGTGGTAGTCCTTGGCTCGTTCGAGGGTCAGAAATCAGAAATCGCTTGTATATTTATGTTTTCAGGAGCAATAGAAAATGGTTCATAAAATGCATCGGAAATTTCAGTAGAAAGCAAAAAAAGTTATCCGAAGAAATTTTTTAACCAATGTAAAATTTCAAATTGATTTTCGTCGTATTCAATTTTAAGTCCCAATTTTTCAAGCTATTCCGAGGGATAAGGCAACATTTAATTTGTATATTTTTTAAAACTCCATTATAAACGAATAATTCGAAATCCAAAATTAAATTAACAAGATAAAAATATTAGTTTTACGCTTTTATCCCACTACTAAGGCACAAAAGAGCAAATTAGTTTTGCGCTTTTGGGTTATCGAAAAATATTGACGATTTGAGCATTTCGGTTTTATCTAATTGGACGTTATATATAAAAACAAACACGTTCTGTTTTTTCCATTTACGTTAAAGAAAGTGATTGACACAAGTATAATACCTTTAACTAAGTATACAAAAAAACATACCACAACAATAATTTTCTTTAAGCCGTGGAAAAAATACATTACAATAACTGAATATTATAATAATAGTCTTCAATCAATAATAAAAAAGAAAATTTGAATTTGAAAATTTTTTTTTCTTTTATGTTAACAACAATTTAAAACATTAAAAAATGCTATATGCTATATGGTTGTTCTAAACAGTAGCGTATTTAGGATTTTTCCAAGGAGGGAGATATTGAATTTGATAATTGTGTTATATTGTAGAACGTGTACCCAGACTAAAAAAAAGATCAATTTTTGATTTATAATTTTTTTTAAGTAACTTACAATTCTATGTATACCTAGAAGATATTAAGTAATTATTATTAATTGATTTACGATTTATAGATATTAATATAATCTCCGTCATATTTGTGTGAATATAATTGGTTTTGTTTTAAACAAAAAAATGTATAATAGATACGTTCAGGCTTTTTGATAAATTAAAAATATTAACTACAATATGTATAAGTACCGACACATCAATTTTTTTATTTTTCAGTCTGAAAAGCAAAAAAAAATTGAATTAAAATTGGTATGTTAATAATAGTTTAATTATATACTTTCTTTAATAATATTTGTTTAATATTGCCCCTATTTTCCCGGTTTTTATCATTTATTTGGAAAACTCTTTGGAAAATCAAAAAGCGATCTTCCAAAAGTACCTCCCCAGTCAGATTTCCTTTTATAACGAGTGCTATCATTGTAAACTGGAACGAAATTTCTGTTAGAGAAAATGTCCATAGAAAAAATAAAATAAAATAAACATCATTGTAAAACCAATACATTCCTCGCTCCATTCAGAATCTAAAAAACGTCTGCAATGACTCGGAGAATTTACAAGAGAACGAAATATGAATGAAAATGTCGAATCCACTGTACGCGGACGAAATCTCCGCGAAGGCGCCCCCGGTAAGTGTGCGCCACTCGAGTTCAGTTTAAATAATTATATTATTGGAAAGTCATTCCCGATTTCACAGCCGCCGGTCAGTGGTTTGTTTGGTTTTTTTTTTTTTTAACTTCCTATTTGTATATTTCGCGTATTATTCAAAATCCCTCGGAGCCGATACACTGTTCAAATGGTTTTGTTAAGAATAATAATCGAACACAAACATTGATTACCTACAATATTATACTTGCGCCGATCTATAGAAACCGTCAATAGGATTTTGGTGCGGCATAAATTTTATTTTTTCCTTTTTATTATTATTATTATTCGGCAGATGAAACAGCAAAAAATTGTCCGCGACAATACGAGAAAAAAAAGTAACCAACGATTTTTATGACTCTGTGTTGAATCTCGGTAGATAAATACGCTCGAAATTTGAAACCATAATACACTGTGTCACACGAACTCTTCTTTTTTCGCTTTGCACGGCTCATCAACACAGCCTTTTGTATAACCCCTCCGAAATTCTGCATCTTGAATTCTTGCGCATAATCTTCTCGAATCGTCATGACAGGCCGACCCGCAAATCATCTTTTATACCTTATCCATTTCCATCGCTTCCGTCGCCTGCGTCTTGGTCCCTCGGTACCAATTGGTTCCGGCTGATCTCTGCCTTTGTTTTTGGAATTTCTATGAAACGTGTTGTCCGTGCGGAACCCTTCTTCTGCGCTCGGTTCTCCGCGGACACGAGAGGCTAGGGGGCAATGCCGTAATTAACACTACCCTATAGGGGATACTTTAATTAAAATAGTACGGTAAGCACTGCCCCCACGGAACAATACCGCATTCGGTATCAGATAGATTTTGATCACACCGCCCACGAATAATTCCTGGATCCGTACACGCGCCGTACAAGGTCGTATCCGTTTCTTTCCGCGTGTCTGAAATACATCCGCATGGTTTTCGAAAGGCCCGCCGGGGTATTTTCGTTCGTCCCGAAAAATTATAACTCGACCGATTCGGAGCGCGCCTTAAACAATGCGAGTGCCGAAATTAAAAAAAAACAATATCTACGGCTTTATCTACGGTTTTATTATCAACCGCCCATACAATATTATATTAATATTTAATACCATACATATTATAATCGTTATTATGGTAACAACGACAACTGCTCTTATTGGATATTATGTTTTCGCATTGACCGCGCGGTCGTTACACACGATAATGATCCGTTCGGTGGACTTTTTTTTTTTTTTTCGAACGCACAATACAAAAAATACAGTACTTAATATACTTTGCCTATAAGTCGATTTAATAATATGATGAAATAATCTACGCGTTTACGCATCCGCGGTGCTACAGTAGCGTTTTTTGTGTTCGCTCGTGCACGTAGAAAAATAATTATAACCGTCTTCCAAAAAAAAAAATAATAATAATAATAATAAAAATAAAAATGATGGTTATTTCGTATCGAATTCCAAGGTCGAACTTATTACTTTTTTTCAGACTGTTCAGCTGTGGAGAGTATACCAGGTACATAATAATGTTATGCAAAACGAAGAGAAAAGGTCAAATATTGACGTTGAAAAGTAGAAATGTTTTTTTTTTATATTGTTATTTCCCTTGCACGAGTTATTATCATTATTATTATTAGTGTACCTAACCTACGTGATGTGAATTGTCTACGGCGAATTATAATATTATACTTAAACGGTCGTGCCAAAGTATAATCGTACCGCAAACAAGACGATATTGAACCAGTACTTCGGCTGTACCCTACATTATAATATGTAACGCGCGAGTAATACCTTTAACAATAATAACACGGTGTATTTTAGTTTTCATCACTATAGCGTTATTACGAAAATCGTTCGAAAAAGCGCAAGTTTCGTTCTCTTCTGGATTTGTAATGATCGAATTTTGAAATAATATATATTACGGTCGGGGTTTCGTCCAGATAAGGGGGTTCTTGTCTCATGGTGAATTTCGACATTTCCTTCGGGACATCCGCCTATTTCGCGTCGCATGATAAAAACGAAAATAAAAATACATCCTCAAAGTTTGAGGCCATTTGAACAATATCTAGTAGAGACGCGCGGCATATTAACATTTAATATCAATAGGATTGCACGAAATCGATGAAAATAGTGTACAAACGACCATAGGTCGTTTTGGGTTTGTTTTTGAAAAAAAAAAACAAAAAAAACAAAGGACCTGTTTTAATCCTAAGATCTTAATTTCTTTTTTGATGACACGGGGATAATATGTTAACAATTGAAGACGCTATAAAACTAACAAGCTGTTTATTATTACAGCTATGAGCTATTTATATATACGTCGAGTTTTACGAGAATTTAAAGGGGACAAAAATGAATTTGTCAAGCGTTTTGTGTTACCGAGGTTCGAGTTATTATGCAAATCGTGACTCGACTGTACTTTATAATTATTATAAAAGTTAATCGATTTTGATATGGAAATAGTTAGTAATTTCACAAAGAAAATATATTAGTTTCAGTTGACTTCTGAAACTCTTGAACAATCGAATTCCCATGCATGTGGTGTCAAAAAGACATCGAGATCTCGGGAATAAAATAGGTCCTTTGGTTTTAATTTTTAATTTTTTTTAAAAAAAAAAAAAACATTTCTAAACGATCTGTAATGGTTTGTACGTTATTTTCATCGATTTCAAGCAACTTGTCTGTTTATTAAATATTAATACGCCGCGCGCCTCCACGAAATATTGTCCGAACGGCTTCAAACTCTGAGGATGTGTGTTTGTACTGAACAACGCACACGGCAGACGTGTGTCCCAAAGGAAATTGGCAAAACACGGGCCATCCTATAGTAAAAGTATTATAGGTATAGATCGTCAAAACGCCACCATCGAATGCTTATCCGACAATAATATGATTACGTGTTGTACAGGTGTGTGGGTGTAGGCCGTCAGTGCGCGATCGAACACGTCCTACATTCGATAATGATAGTAACAACAATAACTAATAACGCGTTTTTCCGCAATAACATTGTCACGTTGATATTAAACATATTATAATAATATTATCATACCCGAAGGTGTTACGCATATTAAATATAATATTGGACATTATATCACATACCTACTCGTTTACGGTGGAAAGAAGAACAAAAAAAAAAAAAAAACGAAAAAAAAAACTAGTTTGCAAAAACGACCTTGAACATAACACCGTTAACACCGTCCGTCGGGGTCTTTGTTTCTATTTATTTTTATCTCTCTCGCGCGTTTCCTCCAGCAGTCGTCGTGCCCAATACCAGACGTACAACTCGAAAATCGAATTGCGCGGATTAGCTGACGATAAAAAAAAATAACACGTAACCATTATCTAGCGGTGCTCGTGTATGTTATTGTAAAAGGCGAGTAAGAAAATTATAGTCAAAACTCTGTCGGCTGAACCAGTGGGAAACCACATACGAAAACCGATTCGCGTCCGTTCGGTTTAAATAATAATAATAATATGCCAATGCGACGGAAATTATAAAATCACTTATGTGAGAAAAAAAGACACACACACACACATAATCGATAAGAATTTATCGTCGTATTTTCATCACTCTTGTTTAATATTATTATAAAATATGCTTAGCGTGTTGATTTTATTGCAATATTATAGCGATACGCGTGTGTAATGAATTTACCCGTATAAAATATATTCTAATAAATAATCGACAAGCACTAACAACATTGAACAACGTAGAAGTTTTTTTTTTTTTATACATATATTAAAATATACGTAAAAACAGCTAAAATATTTGGGAATTTTTTTTTTTTTTTTTTTTTTGAAAACGTTCGTACAAAGACCGTTTTATTAATATAATATATTATATTATACGCGCGTACGCTCGGTTAACGCGACGCGATGTCTCCTTGAACTTTTTTTTTTTACGGGGGAATAGAATACGTGCACGAAAACCGAAACCAGTACTTCTAATACGCGATCGTTAAAATTTAACTAAAAAAAAAAAAAAAAAAATCGCAGTTAATTTTATTCGGCGATAATGCGTATCCGCGAAAATGCATTTCCGAATCGGGCACGTCGGTACCTAATATAATATTGTGTACCGTGCCAACAATAGACTGCCCGCGATACGGCGCGCCAACACCCGCCGCAATGGGTTTGTGCCGGCACAAGGGCACAAATACACAATGGTGCGTTATCGTAACATTATCGGGCGAGTGAGAGACGTTCTCGCAAACGTTGCGCACGTTCAAGTTTGTTTGTTGGTTTTTTTTTTTTTTTTCTAACGCTCGCGTGAGACCCGAAATGCAAAAAAACGCGTTTCAACCGCGCACTCGAAATACTGTGATAATTATTGTAATAAACGCGGTGCGATTCGCGGTAATGTTAACACGGCGACGGTCTACAATATGTTATTTCCCGAGCTTTCCGGTTTACAGGATTCGGCGTGAGAAAAAAAAAAAAAAAAAAACGGATAGCGCGCAGACGTTAATTATTAAACGGCGAGAAAACGAAAAATAACATAATTACACACGGGCGATAAGTGAAGGAATAAAATTTAAAAAAAAAAAAAAAACGAACGGTATAAGAATCTTAGGCACAATATTCAATACTGATAATTTGTCAATGTTAATTACGGTTTACGAGCACAATGGCGAATATTAATTGAAAATTCTTCGTTCCGTTATCGGCCACTCTACGGTGCATAAGTTCCACAGCCGTTCACAGTATGGATTTTATCAATATTCGTAAACAAATCGTTACTAATATTACTTGTATTGCTGATTTGGTCAACGCCCTTCGTTAATAAATTAAGATTTTTGTTTTCAATAAAATCGGACTACTTTTGATAATTGTGTGTGGTTGGACATTTTTAAAAAGAAAAAGAAATCGGAGACTTATTTTCTTTTTCTTCCGACTCCCGTTACAAAACAACTACGGAAAGCCGACGGTACGATAGAGCCGCGTTAGAAGTATGGAGTCGTCGGCCTTAGTATATATTTATATACTAAGGAGGACGAATAATAATTATATTGATTAGACGGCACAGGAGAAAACTTGCGATTCGTTTCGAACGGTTTTCATATTGTCGTCACGCGCGCACATGTGCGTACATTTTTTTTTTCCAATCTTCGAACTATTTAAACTCTTCGACATTTTCAGTTCGAATCCGTACGAGTATTTTATCATTTATCGAGACGCTCGGCCGGATAAATACTAACGTCAAAAGGCCCGCGGTTTTTGTCGATTGTAATTCGTTGGACGGCCGTAGGGGAGTTGCGTGACGCGCGCGTGCGTCGGCACGGGCACGGCGTAATATTATGGTTTTCGGTTTTCACCCGCCCGCCCGACAACAATAACGGTGTTTAACATTGAAACGAATAATCTGAATTCAATCAATGCAGCACCTCGTGTGCGCACCGTATGCCGCGCGTATTGCGGACAAATAATAAACGTACGCGTTTCAATTTATTAACATTTCATTGTTTCGTTTTTTAATTGTGCGGTTTACCCGTTGGATTTCTCTACGCGGCGGCAGGATCGACAATAACACAACTATAGAATATACGTGTATGTATATGTATAAAAAAAAAAAAAATGTGGGACAGCCGACGATCGGTTCCGTCGACGGGCCCGTCGTTTTCGTCTCGTTTCGGTCCGCGGCCCGGGCACCGGACAGTCGCCTGCCGAGCCTACGGTGACGGCGGCGCGCCGTCGGAGTCGTTACGAAACGAAAATTGATCGCATAATTACTCGAGAAAAACACTTTCCAACGAACGCGTCGGAATTTGAATTATTCGATAATCGTTTGCCGTTACGGTTCGTCTCTGTTTCTTCGTCCGTAATAATAATAATAATATTATTTCCGACGCGGGATGTCAGCAACCACGCAAATATTTGAGAAAAACGCGAGTAAAGGTCGGTTAAAAAAATTAGAGTTTTTTTTTTTTTTTTTTTTTCGAAATTTAAATTTAAAAACGCCGCTCCGAGATACCGTGTAGGACAGGCACACGCTTTCCCGTCAGTATTCAACACTTCGGAGTTCCGTCCGAAACAGGTAGATTGCGGTCAATTTTTTCCAAATAAATTGTTTGAGAAAAATATTTCAAAAAAAAAAAAAAATTTTTTGAGAATTTTTACTTACCGAAAAAGTGTTTACACCAATAACGCGCGCGTCTTTGTAAAAAAAAATAATATGCCTGATTTCCTCGTTTCAAGGTCAACAATAAAAACGAAAAAAATCAAAAAGTAAATAAATACCGACGTTTTTTTTTTTTTATAGTATACGGATTTACCTGTTGGATTTGCTGAATGCGCGGTTATCGAGAAAAAAGAAAAAAAAAAAATTATCCTCCGTAGTAATCCTTTTACGATAATCGACCCGGCAATCGTTGTTCGCTTTTTGCTGTGCACACTAACTGCGGTGACCGCGCGACGAGCCGAACTGAAACGCACATACACGCGAAATTTACGCAAGTACGTCTTAATATACTCTCGCGGGTTTTATTAGTATTGACGTACGAAAATGTCACGTTAACGTGCCGTGTTTAATTTGGACATTATTTATTGTAAGTATATACACTGGCTGTTGTTAATATTATTATTATTATTTATTCGAGTTTTTTTTTTTTTTTTTTTTTTTTTTTTGTTGCCTTCCTTCCGCCTCTCCTTCACTCCCTCTCTGTCTCCGTCGCGTCTTTGCAAGTGTGTAGACTTCAGAAAACGCGCGCGTAATGACACATTGGGAATCGGACAACCGGTGCCAATCCGTGCGGTTAATACGTGACGTGAATGGACTATGGATGTTTTATTATTATTATTTTTGAAGAAAAAGAAGAATGTTGTACGAAACTGATCACGCCGACCGATAAAAAATTTATTGAACTCGATAATTTTAACGAGCGGCAAGTATACTGCCTGTGATACTACAGTGGCGTGGCGAAATCGAAATTTCTCAAAGGCGAATATTTTGGCGAACCGTTCACTCCGTCAGTGACGGTTTTACGAAAGGGAGGGGGGTCCAAGGGGTCTGGAACCCCTCCCAGACTTCGAGTTTAGACTAGGAAAATTAGATTTAGTGTTGTAATTTTTAAATCAAACTTAAACTTTATTGTTGATTGAAACGTAAGAACATCCATGTAGATACGTAAACAAATAATATATAAGTTAATTAAAATAAATTAATAAATATTGCGTAAATATTATTTGTACGTTGAATATGTTGTAAGTTAATATCAAAGGGCTCTCACTTTAAACGTTAGCTTTTTATAACATAATACAATCTTTAGATCATACGAATAAATTATCAAAGCTTAAGTACTAAAGTAACTAATAACATTTAAACTAGAGACTTGATGATAAAGACTAACACCCCTCTCCTAACCTTCCGGAAGTCTGAGAGGCGAGTGCCTCTCAAATTAACAAACGATCGCCGCACAACTGTCGGTACGAGTATATAATATTCGTAAAAACACTTATACTAAACGTAAATAAACTAAATTAAATAAAATACTAAAAAAAAAAATAATGATTTTATCATCGTTTTTATTCACACCGAATTTCTCATTGGCCAACAGACTTGTCACGTGTCATAATAATATAACACGGTATTCACTGTACTTACAACGAGATTTAATAATAATATTATACTACGCGTTACACACATCACGATCACGATTCACCGTCCGATTGTACGGCATTGGAAGTAGGCAATTTAATAACATCACTGCACCTAACCGCGGATATACGAGTAGAGTACCCTGTCTACCGCGCGTAATTCGGTGTTGTGGCGTGTAAAATATATTAATTTAACTATAAAAACAAAAAAAACATACGCGTAAAACACAACACAGTTCTTTTACTACATAATAATAATAAATATTTTTTTATTAATATATATATATATATTGAATTCAAGGTGATTTTTTTTTTTTATCGCGATTAGACATTTTTTTGTTCGTTTAGTGATCATACTAGTAAAACAGTATAAATCAGTAATCACATAAAAAGCTGTACGATATATGGTAGAACTGGCACCGGTGATAAACTTCGTTAAGGAATAAAGGATTCAATGTGGCTAATGGTATCGCATATCTAATAATCTGAAATTATATGCCCTTGAAATCCACAAAAGAGCACTTAAACGCGTCAAAAAGCCTCGAAAAAAGCATTTAAAAAACATTTACAAAAGCAAAATTAGTAGTGGGGTTTAAAAGCCCCCCTTTCCCTTCTAAAAGATTTAGCTAATAAATACAATTTTCTAACACTACAAAAATGAATAGTAAAAAGTTATTTTTTTTTTTTTTATAATAAGTACGTACGGTTTTATTTAGAAGACATTATTTTGTGTTGATCATTTTTTAATTATCAGGAAATTTAATTTAATAAGTCAGAGCCATCAGAGGAGAGACCCTTAAAACCCCACAGTTATTTTTGCTTTTAAAATGTTTATTTTGACGTTTTTAAGCACCGTTTGATGGATTATACGAGAATATCCGGTCTCTAATAATGAAGAGAGGCGAAACAACAGTCAGAGCAGCAGTATGGGAATATAAATCCCGGCGAAGAAAACTTCAATCGATTTTGTATGGTTAGTTTTAATACAAGAGCGTATTGTGCTGTTATCGAAAATAAAGGTAAGAACGTTGTCTGTGTTTGTACATGGGTACGTTTTTTTCCCCGATATTTTGATTTTTAAACTGCGTTATTTCACATATTCGTAACGCGCATGAAAATAAAAACATCGACGGACAAACGACCGACGTGCAAACATAGACAATGTTCTTATCTTTAAGTTCGATGGTCGGCCGATATAATACTCCGATATTGAAACTAACAGCGCCAAATCGGTGTTTATACACAAAAAGTACGGCCATAAAGACGTTAACCGTGTAACGTATTCGCAATAATCGCTGATTCGTGACGAAATAATCATCCGCGTATGTACTGTGCGTGATATATCATCGGTAGATACTTAAGTAAATATTGAATTACGGGTTTTATTTGCATTACCGTTTAATTATTTCCTTCCCCGCGAGCGCTTTATAATTATACTGTCACGACATTTCCACCGTGGTCATCGCGTTTACACGTAGGTATACACGTAAATGGTATTTTAATTTATAGTAGTTACAATATATTATGCTGTTCAAAACGGCTAGAGGTATTAGTTGTTACCCGTTCGTCGACTGTCGCAACGATTAGGAAGTAACTATTAACTATTAATGTTTTCCGTAATTTAATTATCGAGCGTTTCCGGGCGTCATCGATTTGGAATTGTTTTCGGTTTTCGTGCATAAAACTTCGGTACGCCGCAGCCCGTTTTCAACTCTATTATTAGGCGTTTCGTCATCATATTGAGCGTTTCGGTAAGTTACGATTTATTGAATACGTACCTACATTTTTTTTTTTTTTTTCTTCAAAATGTACGAGTAAGTGTTCGAACAATATTCGTGTTTGAAAATGATTCGTATCTTTAAGTGCCGGTATAGTCGTTGTTTGTAAATTTGTCAAATAACTTTGCATACACGAATTTCCAGGTCAAGGTGAGACACTTGGGACTAAACGAATTGACATAATAATAATAATGTGCCAACAGACTGTTGTTTAATTATAACAGCAATCGAGTCAGTAATCGTTTTCATATTTGTTTTGAAAACCCTTGGGAAAATCATAAAATGACCTCCCTAAAATACCACTACTAATAAATTTCGTACATTTTCCCGTTTTTCCTCCGTTTTATCCTCGGTTTTTCTAATATTTTTCTATTTAAATATTTTCGAAAACATTTCGCGTGGAAGACGGGTGATCTAAATGGCGATATTATCCCATAATATTATTTCAAGGTATTTAAGTAAAATAAGCAATGCTCGTAAAACACAAAAACTACGTAACTATCGAGCATTACACTATACACATTTGTATAGTTGATTGTAATTCAATTACTCATGTGTAGACCGTGAACGTAATGTTGTATAATTGTCCTAATAATTATTGTGTGTACTTGATACTATAGTAATTTGTTGCTGATGGATTTCGTTTCGACGGTGTATTTCATTCCGCGGTCGGAGTCGTGAGTTCACACAAGAAGAAGATTTGTCTTCGGTTACGAAGTATAACTGAAGGTTACGAGGTGTTTTCGATGCCCCGGGTGCCATACTGGTACCACATTAGCGGCAGCTCTCCGCTGTAGAAAGTACGCGGGTGTTATAGGACGTCGGTAAATGATACGCGAATTACCGAGTAAGCTGGAGTGGTCTTGACTTTAATAAAAATCGATTATTTCCCTGTCATACAACGTACAATAACATATAAATAATTGTTTGCTGGGTGTGTTTGTTCGGTCGTGAAGGAACTGAAAACATTGACGTTCGTTTTTGTTGCACGAATTGTTCGTGGGTATCGTTCATTATATTCTGCGTTTTGGGCCGATTTCGTTCTACGATATGCCTATTACCCAACCCGGGCCTGCCTATCCTATTACCAGCCTTCCGGTCGGCCGGGTGAGTGTGCACCGACACAAGTACCGCTTAATTGTACGGTTTTTCGTGCTTTATAATCAGCCTCGAAGTGCGGTACACGCGATACGCGTTATTGTACGCCTCGCGACCAAATCAATCCAACGATCTCCGTAAAAAAATATCCGCTGTAAGATTAGACGGACCGAGACAAGAATCGGTCCAACACGATGCCACGGACGGAGCTCCGGTCGTGATACGCCAACCAACTCGATAACAATAATAACAATAATAATAACAATAACAATACTGTACACGGCGACACAACAATAGAACGTATGCATCGACTGCTGCGTTATACCGTACACGAATCCTCGAACGTCGTGAACACTTTTTCCCGGGCGCGAACAGTTTCAATTCGCGCCATTCCCACTCCTCTCGCCGCTTTACGATTTCGCTAAAAATTACATATGCCCACTGCTATACAATCGCAATTATCACGCTCGGTCGATTGTCGATTTCATCCAGAGCGGTCCGCACTAATGATGTGTATAATGTTACGTAATATCAACTATTCGTACTGACGACGTCCTCAATATTATAATAATCGTTTCGCGCACTGCAGTTTCATCTCGATAACCGCTGTATATATGCACACTATTCAGGATCTCGAAATGTCCGAAAAAAAAAAGAAAAAAAAACATTTTAGAAATGTAGCGTACAGCTCGAACCCTATACGACCCTGTATAGTTACCGGTTTCGCGTGTTTTTTTTTTTTAATATTTTCACGGTGTACGTAATTTTTCTAACGAAGTGTGTGTGTTTTTTTTTCTCTGTGATTCAGTTAGCATAATGTGTTAGCGGTTACATTATGATCTTTATTTATTCAGTCTTGTAAAAAAAAAAAAAAATCGATTTTTGTTTTTTTTTTCGTTTTTGCTTCGGTAAACATGTATAAACATATTTGAACTAATTTTCTAGTACTTTAGCCGAAACAATATACCTACCTACGTATTATTATTATACGGTTAATACGT